GCCAGAATGTGCGATAACAGCCTAACAGTCTAACAGGGCACAACATTGAGAGGCTACTATTTTTTTCTTTAAAAATGATAATTTTCGATCCTTCCTCCTCCTCGTCTTCCTCATTTTCCATTCTTGTACCAAGTCGCTGGCACGTTTGAAGAAGGTGCATGCTACGGCCTGCTCGTATTGCGACGTTCCTATCAACAACACCAAGGAGCAGCACACATGTACAACACGACATTGTAGTGTGCAATACTACAGTCATATACATGTACGAGACTCGTACCGATCGTAGTTACCACAGTGTCATGTACCGCAATCATGTACATGCGTACATCATGTACATGTACATTGCATTCACAAGGCAGAACAACAGAGACCAAAAATCCTTCTCGTTTACTCCGAGTTTCGTGTTTCAAAAACACTCATCAGACGATAAAGCTATTCGCTAGTTATATACAGTGGTGGACAGAATTATTGTCCCACCCATGCTAAAATGTGATTCAGTTGATTGTTACTACCTAGACTCTAGCTGATGTGATAAAGACATCAGATACCTGATAGAAAAGGCAAGTTTTGCTTGTTATAATGGTTTACAACTAGTAAAAGCAGATATACGTGAAGATAATAGGGCAAAATGTGGGACAATAATTATGGCCGAAATCCAGTATATACGGTAAGGTTGCCTACTCTACCTAAATACAGCTAGGATTGAACTAAATTAAGGCTAGCACCACTAAAAAATCCTGATCTGATGAAACTCACGCAGTTTTACCACTTCGTGGCTCCACCCTTGGCCTTGATCACTGCCTCCATGCGCGCCGGCATGGTGTTGACTATGCGCGCGCATTCTGGGGCAGTGATGAGGTTCCATGAACGCTTGCAGACATCCCACAGCTGGTTTGTGCTGGTGGGCCTGGTCTGCAGCTCATGGCGCTTCAGGCCAAGGATGTGCCACAGGTTTTCTATCGGATTCATATCCGGCGACTGCGGTGGCCACTCCATAACGGCGACGTTGTTCTCCTGAAGCCACTGCTTTGTCGCGCGCGCTGTATGCTTCGGGTCATTATCCTGCATGAATATGCCACCAGCATCGCCGAACGCATCCTGCATGCTTGGCAGCATCACGTTCTGCAGTATTCCCAAGTACTGCTGCGCGTTTAATTTGCCGTCGACCTTGTACAGGCGGCCTCTGCCTTTGGCGGACATCGCTCCCCAGATCATGATGTTGCCGCCTCCATGTTTCACCGTTTTGCGTGTGCACGAGTCTGCGAGGGCTTCTCCTGGTCGTCTTCTGACGTAGACAGCCCCGTCAGACCCTACCAGGTTGAACTTAGACTCATCCGTCCACAGAACTCGGCTCCACTGCTCACACGTCCAATTCTTGTGGGCTTTAGCAAATTTCAGCCTCTTTCCTTTGTTTACCTTGGAAATAAAAGGCTTTTTCACCGCCACACACCCTCGCAATCCACTGTTTTGCAGCCTGCGACGCACAGTTCGCACTGAGACGGTATTCTCACCCTCCTGCGCCAACTCAGCTCTCAGTTTTGTTGCCGTCTTGAACCTATTGCACATTGAAAGCACCTTCAGCCTGCGATCGAACCTGGGGGTAGTCTTCCTTGGGCGGCCAGTATGGGGCTTCGTATCGACTTTGCCAGTTTTTTTGAACGCAGAAATAATTCTGCGTACCGTACGATCGCAGAGACCCGTCAATCCAGCTATAGATCGCGACGAGAGACCCTCCTTGTTCATCTGAACAACAAATTCCCTACTATCTTTACTGAGCTCCTTTCCTCTCCCCATCGTGCAGAAAACCAAAGTGAAATTACTCAAATTGTTGTCAGGAAGCCGTCAGCAGGTTCGGAAAACACCACGTGGTGAAGATTTTGAATTTCCCGCAAAAATCGGTCGCAAAAGTTTTGCCAGTCGGACACGTGACATTTCGGCCATAATTTTTGTCCCACTTTTTGTACGGTAAATCGTGAGTATTCTGGAAAACTGGTTAGCTTTTTCAAAACTCGTTGCTAATACCTGAAATGCTTCAACATTGTGGCTGTTTGGCGCACAGAACTGTCCAGGTTGGTCTTTAGATTCCAAAAGATGACCAAAATGCAAGGTGGGACAATAATTCTGTCCACCACTGTAGGGTAATTGTAATGTAGGCTAAAGCAGTGCTACAACCACGAAGTTTGAGGAGATAGCATCAGCGCTGGAATACGATGTGAGCAAGAGGACACTTGCACTGCTATTACTCACATCGTTTTCCAGCGCTGATGCTATCTCCTCAAGCTTCGACTCGTGGTTGTAGCACTGCTTTAGCCTACATTACAATTACCCTATATAACTAGCGAATAGCTTTATCGTCTGGTGAGTGTTTTTGAAACACGAAACTCGGAGTAACGAGAAGGATTTTTGGTCTCTGTTGTTCTGCCTTGTGTAGTACCCTCTGCCCTTTTTGAGGCATTGAACACTAATTGCAGAAAGGACTTCAGACACTTTGTGTACATTGCATTCCTCTTTTCTGTGCTGTATGATTGTAGTCTTCCCCCAATCTGTTCCCACCAATGGTTCAATTTCAAAGCTGAGCCTGGCCGAAGCGGGTGAGGAGGTGAGGCAAAGTGCCTCTTAGCCTTAGCCTTTCATGGTGACTTGTTTGCTGTCAACTCATACCCAGCTTCTGTCCATTGATCAATACAATATGTACAACAGTCGGTCCGCACTTTGCTTTGCCGATGCCCAATTTAGGGAGCATCTCATAAGTTCGCACCTATTTTGTAAACGTAACGCATTTCGAATAGACTTTACCCCCCTACCTCCCCCCTCTATTCGAAAGTCTTATCGCACATTTTCCGTGTGGATCTTATACTGTACTGTGCGTGTCCATGCCCATGCATGCCATGGTATGCACATGTACAAAATTAATGTACACTGTACATGGACATGAATGTCAAAGTGAATGGCATACAGACTACTTACTGTAGTCAGTAGTACCCCATCTACATAAATTTTATGTAGATATTGAGTACAAGTACAATGAATGACTTGTACACGCACATAAACAGAGTTCCTCCACAACAACTAGTGTACTGACTCTGTAAAAGCTGGCCAGGTACACAGTTTGATCAGGCTGGTGTGACATTTGACACCTCTGAGTAGCCTGCATGAATGCAGTGTATGCAAGGTTTAGCTGACCTCCAAACACAGGTACAAAAATATAGATGTACACCTAAACACACTCATTTGCTGAAGTACTACACAGAACATGCACTGCATGCACATTATGTACACATCCTGAAAATGTGCGAACTGTCATTTTTCTATTCGAAAAGGGCGTTACCCCCCTACCCCCGTTTCGAAATGCGTTACGTTTAGGAAAAAAATGTGAACTAATGAGATGCTCCCTTAGCTAGAATGCCGGCACTGCAGCTACACTGCGAGAACGTACATGTGCATGTACATGTACACTGTACATGACTAATAATAGACATTGTACTTATTTGTAGGTCTTGGCGGATAGTTTTCGGAAATTAAATTATTTGGCGGATGTTGAGCAATACGTGAAGAGAAAAGGACCTACTACAGTATAAGTTACTAGTTATGACGAATAGTCCACCAAGGTCCTACCAACTTGGAACCTTCCAACTGGGAACTTGAGCCTTCCAAGTCGGTAGGTTGTTGGTAGTTCCGCTTTGTAGAATGTAGTCTTGGAAGTTGGAGCTACAGTGTACATGTACATGTAGGTGTCAGGTCGCCACATGTCTCAATATCCCTGTCAGTTTTGTGCGTCGTTGTCGCACTATACAGAAAACAGGTGGAGAACAGAGAAAAACAAGGAAAAGGACAAAACATAGGGGATGTAGGGACGACGTGCCGAGGTGCTGGGAGCAACTCAACCGACCAGAGGTCTCGGCGTCAGCGTTGCAACTAGGCATCGAAAAAGGGGAGGGGGGGGGGGGGGGGGAGGGGGGTGCACAAGAACAACTGCAAACCAAACAGAAGCTAGAGAATACCACAAAAATAATAACATATGCAACCTCAAAGAGAAAGACCAAGGAACTACAAGTTACGCTATACTGTCCACTAACACCACCAGTTACCAATCTGAGTCCATATGCAACCTCGGTGATGATATCTTGCCTTTGATCCTCGCAGTCTCAAGTGTGGCCGACCATATCATGTACAATGTAGGTCCTTTTCTCTTTACCGATTGTTCTATTATCGACAAACCACGAACCTGGAGAACAGAATATTGTAGCTATGAAATACATGTAGGTGGCTGCAGTCGCAGCCGTGGTGGTGAAACTGGAGCGTCTCCATCGACCTGAGGTCTCGGCTTCAGCCTTCAGCGACACTTCAGTGCACCAAAAAGTGGGGAGGAGTAGACACAGGGATCAGGACAATGGGGAGGAGTAGACACAGGGGAGGGGGTTGGGAAGGGGGAGACTACATTCTGCTAGCCTGTAGGCCTTTCGAGCACACGTTTCCAACTTCCACAACAGCGACAGAGTGATAACACTATGTAGTTGATGAACAAAATGGTCTTTCTTTTTGGTGTTCTACCTGGATTGGTTTAGTGATTCTCCGGGCTGTCATCTGTGCCAAGTCATGCGGTTGTTTTCGCCCCAAATCACCATGATCACCTAATCCTTGATCACCCATCTGTGCACCGACGTGTAACGTTACCGGTGCCAGGAAGCCAGTGCCATCCGTGACCACCACACACGAGGACTCGTACCGACGCGTCCAGATCTACCGCACATCACTCATCAGATGGTACAGAAAGAAATGCTTGTGGCTCAATGTAGCTGAACCATCGGACCTTATTTGTCAGCTTGGATCACGTGATCTATCCAGCTGCCGCGTGCGGCAAACAGCCCAAATAGCGCTAACTCTGGCCTGCGAGCGTTTGCTGCGACTAGCGCGCTAGCGCTCTTGACATACACAAACGCGCTAGCCAGAATGCTTTGACTTTGATGGCTTTCAGCTTCTATTTTTTGAAAAAGTAGCGCGCTCAGACCAGCTCGCTCACTCTTTTCCTCTTCCATTTTTTAGGGCAATTGTTTTGTTTGATAGACGAAGCTTAGGGTCTCTTTGGGTTTGCAACCCTTACCCTCCTGGAAAAAATCATAGTTGCTAGACTGCGACACTTCAGACCAGGTACTATTAGAGCCGCTAATGGACGACGAGCTATTTTCCGCTATCCGGAGCTCAAGCATTTGGGCCGCTAAATGGACGAGACTCCTGCGGCAAAGGATGCAGAGAATGAGGAGAAAACACTCGTATGGAGCAGGGAGTAGGTATTGTACTACTTCCTGGTATGGAGCACTGAGAAGCGGTAAGTCTTAGGGCAATTCTTAGCCAGTAATTACTTTCTCGCCATAATTATGTTCTCGTTTTTCGTGTCTTCTGTAATGCCAGTACACTAGCAGTACGACTACACTGTAGGCGAGAGTCCATAAGCCAGAGTGTGCAGCTCTCCATCTCTGCAGCATAAACAAATTAATGACAAATTTCCTTTGCCTAAGGGCTGGGTTCCACTGCCGCTCCGCCGCACATCATCCACGGCATGAAACGTCATCATTACGAGCTGGTCCAGCGAGGCCGCGGCTCATCACCAGCTTTCGCTTCGCTGCTTGATACAGAAAATGCAAGCCGCGGTCACGGCTTGCATTGTTTCCCGCACTTAATTGTTTTATTCGGGGGAATTTTAATTCGTTGCACAGGCCAGAACACGAGGATTTTTTTGGATTTCACGCGCGCGCAGGCTAAATGTCATCAAAAAACGTCGAGCACGATCGCGGTACCGTGAATGGCGAGTATCACTGGAACCGCGCCGCTCTGCTGCATGCAGCCAAGTACCGTGGAGCAGCGGAGCTGCGGAGCCGCAGTGGAACCCGACCCTAACCAAACTTATAGCAATTTGAAAATGTTTGACAATTTTTCATAAAAAACTTGACAACATTGTTCTTCTGTAGAGTGCCGCTGGCAACTCCATCGATGAACTCCATCAATGAGCGCAGGGATAAAGTTTAGAAACCCTTCGAGCGAGAACGTGTTTTCAAAAAGGAAGCACAAATATGCCGCGTAACTTCCCCTCTAGTATGGCCCCATCAAAGCCACTCGCTGACTACTTACCAGTAAAATGGGGTTGGACGGTTGTCAGATTAGCTGATATGTTTTCTGCCAACACAACCATAAGCAGTTGTCAACTCTCAAGACTAAAAGAGCTTGCGAAGAAAGTGAGAAACCTTGGCTATGAAAGCACATGAAGCGTCAGAACATAATGGAGCAAACTTGGACCTAGATTACCAGTGTCTGCTCCAGAGCCGGGTCAGTGACCCTGTTCGTGAGTACTTGGACCCTTTGGAAAACGAACACTGGGTTACCTGCGACCCGGTCGGAAGTCCTGTCGAGTACTATACTTTTTTATACTTCGAGGGTATACCGCCACTGACAGGCTGCATACGCGTGCAGATGCGTGCGGCCAGAGTGCCCAGTGCGAGTACGTTCATACATGTACATGTACAATCATGTACATCAGGAAGTCGAAAGTAAGTTTACGACTCCCTGACACCCCGTAGCCGCACTTGAACGCATCTGGCTCTGGCCCAGTGTTGCAGGAGTTGTGCCAGGTAGACGTGTACCCGGTTTGTGTTAAATCCTAGAGCAGGTACTGCATACCCTATCATATCTGTGTACATGGGTATACAGAGTCAGTGTTGTTGCGTCCCACTCAGCACCCTTCTGGTTCATTTCGGCACCAGCACTCTTTGCGTATGCAGAGCTGAGTAACTTAGAGTGCAAGTTCGGACCACAAGTACACTGTAGCAGCTTGTAGCAAACCTAACCTGTGCCGTTATGCACGGTACTTGTGTGCATCTACTTCATTCCTGAGTAACACACCTGGTATATGGTGCACAATAGGGCACAGTAAATAATCAGCATGCATCGCAGTTTTCTGCAACATATTCCTGAAGTCACTTTACACCTCAGAAGAATTGCGTCGCTGACTGGAATTCGATACCGGTTTAGTTTCTCTCTGGGTCATTATGAATCATAGAAAACCCGTCATACAATAGGTTCAAGCTAAAGTACCGTATCACCATGGTAATTCCTGGAAATTCGGTGTGTTTTCTGCCTTTTGTTAAACAAGCAGCAATGTGCAACAGAAATTACCATGGTGATACAGTAGATTACCGTGTGAAGCGGTGTGAGATGCAGCAAAGGTGAGCCTGTTACTGTGAGTCTATGCCCTAAACAATAAACTTTGCCGTGGGATGATTATCCTTGGGCTGCACACTCTGCACACTTATTGCTAGGTATATCATTGGTCTTGTTCGGATCGTCCATTACGTTTGCAGCTGTTCAAACTTGTTTTGTTGTGTATTACTTTATTGATTTATTTATTCTACTTGCCTTTCCTATCTCCTTGTGTTTTAGCATTAGGCGATTTGATCGCAGGACAAGAGAGGAGCTGATGGACGATCTCTCCAATGTTCCTCTTGGTTCGGAGCGGCGCCGAGTGCTGACGTTGGAACTTGGGTAAGGATGAGTGTTCCCTCATGTTTACAAGTTATCCGTTTTGTCCAACATTAACGGTTATATGCAGAATACTGCTGAGTCAAAAATGTGCAACAATTAGCACAAAAACTGACTGATGAGATCATGACATTCAACGACCTGATGTTTAGCTGCATCACGTTTATATCCGTAAGTGTTGGACAAAACGGATAACTCGTAAACTGATGGTCCTCTTTTTTAATTTTAATCCTTGGCTCTCCATCCGAGTTCCCTCGTGTGTGTAGCTATTATTATTTTTTTGGTGACAGTCAATTTTTCTTCAGACTTTTCCCGTTTGTGTCTTTCCCTCAAACTAGTCAATATTTTTTATTTAAAACTCGGATGTTGAGCCATAAATAAATGTAAAAGAGAAAAGGACATATGGATACGAGTTAAGAGTAACTCTCCATCACTGTAACATGATACTATATACAGTCAGAAAGTGCAATAACTAGGCACAAAACTGACAGAGTACTGAGACATTCGACGTCCTGACACCTAACTTCAACACATCTCCGTAGCGCTAACCGACAGCCTTCCAACTTGGAAGGTTCAAGGTTATGGAAAGACCAAAGAGGGGAAGGCAAGCGCAACGAAAACGAGCAAAAGCTACAGTCCCAAAGGAACAAAGAATGTCGATTGTTACTGGACGATGACGAGACCAGTACGATATTTGACAAAGCGGTCTAACTACAATTCGAAGCAGCAAAGCAGCACACCACCCAACTTGGGTGGGTCATAAATATCAAAGATAAGTAAAGAAAGGGAAGCTTTGCGAAAACGAATTGTACAAGCCGAAAGCCAAACTCCTACAGTACTCCTCATGCATGACATTGTGATGGACTAGTTGACTACAAAACAAGTTGTTTCACACGACGTACGTTTCGCCGTATGGTTCGTGACGGCTCATCAGGTGTGCAATTTGAAACTCGGATGTTGTGGTCTTTCCATAACCTTGAACCTTCCAAGTTGGAAGGCTGTCGGTTAGCGCTACGGAGATGTGTTGAAGTTAGGTGTCAGGACGTCGAATGTCTCAGTACTCTGTCAGTTTTGTGCCTAGTTATTGCACTTTCTGACTGTATATAGTATCATGTTACAGTGATGGAGAGTTACTCTTAACTCGTATCCATATGTCCTTTTCTCTTTTCTCTTTTTATTTACTTATTTTTTTGCCCAGGCTCTACATTCTACCTTTATTTTACTTAGACTAGGGTTAGCTGTCCGTTTACCAGTACTCATCCACACATATGTGTACATAGGGTCTACACAGAACTCTATCAGTAGATATTTTGTGTATAGGGGGTTGTCTATCCACCGAGATAGCACTATATACTCGCATTCTGTGTGTTCTCTGGTAGCTATGTCCCTTGGAGACTGTACGGTGTCAGTGTGGTGACCGAGGTCAGGCCGTGTCTGCACTGGCATCGTCAACTTTGCCTACTGCTACGTGTTCCCCAGTGCTCCATCTGTGTCCTGTAATTTGTTTGGGGAGGGGGGGGGGGGCAATACCGGTACTTCAGGTGCAGGGGGCAAGGGGGGGAATAGGGTGGGGGACATCATGCCCCCAATGAACCTCTCCAGGCGTTGTTCTGGAGTAGACTAACCATAGGCGGAGTGTACACATGCAGCACATAGTTTGGGAGCTAGAACGCGATCGGACTCAGGCATATTCAAAGGCAGTCTATTGTGATAGTAGTCCTGGACTGATCTCACTATGATGATATAGGTCGTGCCCAGCATCACAATGCCAAACATTATAAATGACTGTTTTTTTGCCTGAGGGGCTAGATGAGCATGCGGCTAGACTGCCGATGGCAACCAACAGGCTCAAGGCTGTGTTGAGACTTCGTCACGGTGAGCGACCCGAGTCAATTGTTTACTCGCCATGACTAGGCATCGCATTGAGCATCGTATGCCCACTATTATTATGTCACTGTTCTTAGTCGCACCGGGGGCGCATGCCCGTTATCAGGAGACTTCTCAAAACACATAAGCCCTGGGTCCTGAAGGTTAGGCCTATTGTTAATCTAAATAGTCCTGGCTACTATCCCGCTGAGTTCACTGACTTTCTACTGAACCCGTATGTATGTGAGGAAAGTACTGTTCTGACCTCAACTGCGGATTTCATCAACTTGGTAGAAGGTTTGCCTGTGCGGGACGATCATTTATAATTGAGTATAGATGTGACCAGCCTTTACTACACCAACATCCCCAACGAGCTCGGTTGTCGTTGTATATCACACACAGGTGTACAAGGTGGATGCCCCTCGCCCTTCGTACATGGTTATTAACAGCAGTGACTTCCTTGATGTCAGTCATTCGGAAGAAAAATGAGTTCGTGTATGGTAACGATGTGTTTCGGCAGATCCAAGGGACTGCCATGGGTTCGCCTGCAGCAGTGGTCTATGTCGACATTGTTATGCTGTATTTGGAGAAGCGGTACGTTTTGCCGATCTTAGAGGGGGAGGGTTTAGAGGTTCAGGTTTATAGACGCTTTATCATTGCATGGTTGCGAAGGTCAAGTTCAGCGCACTTTAGATAGGATTAATAAGTGTTCGGCCCTCAAGTTTTCTCATGAACTGGCACATGATGGCATTGATTTCCTGGACACCACAGTTTTCCGTAGTAAGGGATACATGGCGGTGAAGCCTCATTTCAAGTTCACCAATCGTTTCCTGTATCTGCTTGTCGGTAGTAACCACCCCTGTAGTATGGGCAAAGGTGTGTTCACTGGGGAGTTGATCCGTATCCGTCGGTCTTCGACCCTTGACCACCACTACGAAGCTGCTGCCGAGCGGCCGAAGCAGGCTTTCCGGGCCCGTGTATACAAGCGCTCCATCTTTCATCTTTCAGACCCGTACACTAGGAATAGATGCGCAGGGAAGGTATGTTGGTCAAATTGGCATGGGTTTGGGTTATTTCTGTAGTTGTATACAGTGCTCCTCATTGTATTTACCTGGGCCCGGCCTGCTGTCCTTCGCCCGTTGGTCTTGAGGTCCAGGTGTAGTACCCCTACCATACAGTCCGGTTGCCAGCGCGGTTGTTGTTACACGGTGGAACATCGGCAAGAGGTTGCTTGCTCGTTTGCCTCATGCTCAGTGTCCTCAGGGAGTTAGTATTTTCCTCCTGTTTGGATTTTGCAGTGTCTATGGTGTCGGTAATTGAGTTTTTGTTCTGTATGCTTTTCTGTGGTGTGTGGCCGTTGTTCACACATCTTTATCAAGTGACTTGCTTCCTGGTGTGGTGTACCCTTTTGTTTTACTTCGAAGTATATTGGTGTTGGTCTGGCTGTAGAGTTCTAGCATCCGTAGCTGCCTCAGGGGGTGCCACTTCTCCCATCAGCGTCGACTAGTCCGCCGGTACGTGGTGCTATATTACGTTTAGTTGTCTGTTCCATCCTGTACGGGCTGTGTCCTGCTGACCACACAGTCTGGGTCTCCATACTTTGCATGTTCTCATCGTGTGTAGTGCTCACACGTACATATATGGACTGTCACACCCATATGTTGTACATGTGGCTGCACGTGTTGTCTCTTTGTCATACCTGCTGCTGTATTTGTGTCTCTGTGCTGCTGACCCGTACATGCTGCTGCGCTGCTTTGTTGTATTGCTGACACGTGCACCTTTTTGTGCTGATATGATATCGAGTACGCCACGTTTTGTGCTGATGAGGGCACCACTTTCCGATATCATGTTTCCTTTTGCCATGTCAGTTGTCAGTTCTCCCGTCGTCTCCTGAAGTGTAGTAATGAATAGCTCTCTCTCTCTAGCTCTAGAGAAAAACCACTTGACTAGTCCGTTTGATGAGTGGCGTGGGGAGGGTATAGTAGAGGCAGCTCGTTCTCCAACCGAGACGACATTTGGCGCCCAACGTGGGGCTCAAACCCACGACCCTGAGATTAAGAGTCTCATGCTCTACCGACACATATATGCACGCGGCGCCGTTTGTGCTCCTATCCATTTACATATGCTGCTTTCCACACCTGTGCTGACAGTCGGTACGCACCGACTCTGTACGCATGCACGCACACCATTACATTCTGTTGGCATCATATTAGTGAGGTTTTGCATTCCGAAATTCGGCAAAAGATTCGGCACGCGGGAGCGAGGTCGAAAATGCACACGAAGATGCGGCATGTTTGTTCGGAAAAAGCTCACTTTGCCGAACATATTTTTCGGATGAATTTTCTTGTGGAAGAGCGCTAGCGCGTGATTTATTCAAAGAGGTTTCTTATCTTGGCATGGCTTCGCAGGCGTCTTTGACGACATCAGCATCGTCAGCTACCTCTGATTGCTCCTCTCCACTGCCTGTCTACTCTCTTTCGCCTGGAGTGTCCTCACCATCATCTGTGTGGCTGAAAAGACTATGGCGATACCCATAAAATTTGATTTGGCCATGGAGTTGGTTTTTCTGAGGCGACTGAGGAGGCAGGTTTGGCCCTCGACTCTTTGGGCGCGATCAAAGTTTGTCGGAATCAGCAAGGAAAGGAGCACGGGACAGGACATTGCTGATGCTGGGGCTCACGAAATCAAAACACATCATTTTCGACTTGCAAAACAAACGTCGGTGCGAAAATTCAACATTTTGATGTTCGACAAATGACCAAAGAACGCCGAGCCGAAATTCGGAATGCAAAACCTCACTATTGCGGAGCTTTCTGGAGCTCCGAGTTAGTTGTTGTTTGGAATACAGCAAGAGAACAACATTACATTGGCACTGCGAGCAAACGCCTGATCCTCGCCATGTCCCTACTGTCACTACCGCCTCCGGAGCCATTCCCGATCTACAGCAGTCTCTACGACGCTGCTGCCCATTTTCCTGCCTGGGAACGGTGTTTCCAAATCTATGTCGCAGCAGCCGGCATCTCGGATGACACTCGCCAGAGAGACACTTTCCAGTATGTGGCCGGCAAGGACATCCAGCAGCTCGTCCCTACGTTAGCCAACACTGGCAACGATCTCGACGGCCTCATAACTGCCGCCGCCGACTACTTTCAGTCGAAGCAGAGCCCCAGCATGGCCCGCTTCCACTTCCGGCAGGTCACCCAGCAGCCTGGCGAAACTTTAGACACGTTTTATACTCGTTTGCTGGCATCGGCAACGACCTGCAGCTTCGCCGACGATGCCCAGAAGAACGTGGCTCTCTGTGATCAAATTGTGGCAGGATGCACGTCCGATCCACTCCGCAGAAAACTGCTGGAGACTGCGTCCCTTGATCTCGCCAAGGCGCTCAAGGCCGCCAGAGCATTTGAAGCGTCAGTGGAACAGACGACGGCGTTTCGGCGCACACAAGACTCGATCAATGCCCTCCGTCATCAGCCACCGTTCTACAAAAGGACACAGCCGCCTCCTGCTACTGTTTCAACTCCGTCGCGTCGACCGATGCGGTCTTCGCCACATCCAGCTGCAAACTCGTACCACCAGCCACCTGCCCCAGTCGCCACTCGCGCTCCAGGCCAGCGGGAATCCAGCACATCGCTCTGCTACCGCTGTGGAGAGCCAGGCCACCCTGAGTCACGTCGCTACGCAGTTTTGCACTGTAAACGTCTGCCCATGGGCGTATCGTCCGCATCCGAGATCCTACAGCGCACACCGGACGCCATGGCTCGCTGGCCTCGACGGTGTGAAGAACGTCCACGACAACATCTTCAACTTTGGTAAGAGCGTCGAAGAGCACAACCGACGACTCGCCGCCTGCCTCCAGCGGCTCCAAGATCACAATGTTACACTCAACCGAGCCAAATGTCACAAATGTCACATCCTCAAGCCTCGGCTCAAGTTCATGGCTAGCGTCTACTCCGACAAGGGCATCCGCGCCTCTCCCAGCCACCAGCAGTCTGTGGCTACATTCTCTACGCCATCTTGCGTCAGCGACATACAGAGTTTCCTGGGTCTCACCAACTTCCTCCGCCGTTACATTCGTAACATGGCCGATCTCACCACGCCACTCCCTGCTCTCACTAAGAAAGGTACTGTTTGGCGTTGAACTGATGTTGAGCAGCAATCATTTGATGCACTGAAGAAGGCCATCGCCGAAGACTGCATGCTGCAATACTTTGACCGCAAGCGATACACATCACTGTATGTCGACGCATCGCCCACCGGCCTCGGCGCAATCCTGTGTCAACGCCAAGACAACGGCCACGATGCACCTGTAGCATTCGCCAGCCGTGCACTCTCCGGCGTCGAGCAGCAATATTCTCAAACTGAACGGGAAGCATTGGGTGTCAAGTTTGGCTGCCTTCGCTTTCACCACTACTTGACAAGGTGATCCACAGTTCACCGTTGTCACCGACCACAAGCCGCTCCTGCAACTCCTGCAACTCATGGCCGTCGGATCGAGACCTCCGCCACGAATTGAGCGCATGGTCCTCCGCCTGCAGGATCTCAGCTTCCAGCTCCAGTACAAGCCTGGCCCAGAAAACCCGGCCGACGTCGTCAGTCGCAAACATCGGCGCACAGGAAGACACTGCGTACATACATGCCCTAAGTTAGCTACAGACGCTAAGCCGAATGCGTTGGCTCTGAAGGAGATTGCGGACGCCACCACCGCAGACACCACACTGCAAGCCATCCTTTCCTCTCTGCAATCTGGCCGCTGGGATTCCAACCACACCACGGTCCGCCCGTACTTTGCCCTCCGCCATGAACTGTCTGAGAGTGACGGTCTACTACTCCGAAACGACCGTCTCGTCATTCCCACGGCCCTCCAACGGCTTACCCTGCAGCTTACACATGCGGGCCACCAAGATATTGTCCGCACCAAGCAACGGCTCAACAGCAAGGTTTGGTGGCCCAACATGGCTACTGAAGCCGAAGCACTCTGCCGGCAATGTATTCCATGCCAAGCAACTCTCTCAACGACACCGCTACGTCCGGGAGTCCGTGCCCACACCACCGTCCACCAAGCCGTGGCAACGAGTCTTCGTCGATTTGTATGGACCCATGCCAAACGGTCAGCACCTGCTTGCCACTATCGACCAGTTGACTCGCTACCCGGTCATCAACGTGTTCAGCACGACACCCACTACGGCCGGTGTTCTTAAAGCTCTGCGCTCTACATTATCCATGTTCGGCTTGCCCGAAGAGCTAGTCTCGGACAACAGTCCTCAGTTCCGTTCTTCGGCTTTTGCTGATTTCCTCGCGCAACACGCTATCCAGCACCGCCACACCCCTCCTTTGTGGCCACAAGCAAACGGAGCAGTCGAGTGCCTCAACCGTACCATTGGCAAAGTTCTGCGAACTGCCAAACTAGCTGGCGAAGACATCAATGTTGCATTAGACCAATCGCTCCTAGCGTACCGCACCACGCCACACCCTGCCACTCACGAGGCACCGGCAACACTCATGTTTGGTCGCCCCATCCGCGACAGCATACCCTGCATTACGGCAGCCGCACCAGACTTGCCTTCAGCTGCCCACCGTGACCATCAATTCCGCCAATCCCAGTGCGATGCTGCCAATGCCACCCGCCGGTCAAACGCCCCCATCCTCACTCCTGGTCAGCGCGTCTTACGCCGCAATGAGCAGGCACACAAGCTCTCACCACAGTGGGATCCCAACCCCTGGACCGTTGACCAGATCTCTGGGTCTACGGTGACGATCTCCAACTCAGCAACTGGCCAAAGATCGACTCGCCATAATTATGTCGTTCGTCAAGCCCGTAATTGTTGTCACACCGCCAGCCCATCACCCACTACCAGCTGAAAGTTCTGCCACCACACCTTACAAAATTACAACAAAATCACATGCAAGAAGTCCTTTCACTTTGACTACTGCTCGTTGCGTGACATCACTCCTCACCAAAGGACTTCCTGGGGATCACAATCCTAAACAGACAAATGTACGAATACCGCAACTGACTCTGTAGTTCTGCACGCCACGATCAACACGACTGCGTGCAAGACACAGCTGATCATCGTCGCTGTACTCTTCCCTGAGCATGTTACCCTGTCGCTGCAGCCTGCGACGGACATTCCATAGTTCCACCAACTTGATGGCTTGATGTTCCCATTGACGTCGACCATGTGGTGTTGCCATTGACGACCTTCAACTTCAGGTCCTTGCCGTGGTCCGCACCATTCAAGAGATGGGCCACATTTGGTGTACTTTCACCCAGTTTGTCACTTATTTTAACCTTGCCGACTTTCCACTGCCGGACTGTTGCTTCAACAACTGGCGGAGAGCACATACGCATATCATCACTCTTCCTTGCAAACATCATTTCCGTCTCCACCACGTCCTTATCAGCCTGATCCATGCCTGACACCCCCAAGGCACTGTCCACTGTGCCGCCGGGCTGGTGGAGCGACGGACCGATTCTCCAGTGACGGTCGTCGTCCACAAGGCTGTTGGAGTGCGCATCCAAGATGTGCTAGAGCTGTTCAGTGTCGTGCAATGCTATCGCATGAGCTGATTGTTTAGTAACTGGTGGTGTTAGTGGACAGTATAGCGTAACTTGTAGTTCCTTGGTCTTTCTCTTTTGTATAAACAAACTAGTAAGCTAACGATAAACTAGTTACACTGAGACAATTCGACTGGCACAAATTACAACAAAATCACATGCAAAAAGTCCTTTCACTTTTACTACTGCTCGTTGTGTGACAACCACCATTATCAGTGTGCGCACTGCGCCTGGTTTGGTGCATGCCTGGTGGAATATGACATAGCGGCTGATGCAGTGGGCACGTCAGGTAACACCTAACGCATTGAAAATGACTCAACTATGACTTGGTTCGATTGCAACAAACCTAATGATAGTGGTACCGAAACATTCGGGTAACCGGAGTAAGTGCCAATTGATATTTTTGGCTCCAGTCAGTCAAGTGATTCAATTGCAATACAATTATATACGTACGGTGGAACTCACTTAGTACGTACCCGGGTAAGACATACACCTGCATAACACGGTCCTCTTTTGTCGCACGGATTTTCCTCCCATAGGCGCATATTCAGATGTGTACGGATAAGACTGCTTCCTTCTGTTCATGTGATTCATTGTCGCTGTGTTACTGTATGCAGATCTCACTCAGCTCTGCTCTCCGAGCATTCTGCTTCCAACACGCCGTGACTTCCCGAAAGGTATGTATGGTGGCTAATAAATAATGCAAGAGTCTTTACAGATTCCAGTGCTCTCATGCCTTTTGCAAGTTCCGTTTGTAAGTCAAATGGAACATGGTTTGTGATCAATACTTCAGCAGTAGTGGTGCGAGAATATTCGGGTGTCAAATTGCTCGGAATTGATGTATGATAACGGAGAATATACCAACATGTGAATCACTTGGAGATATGATTTGCCAGGTTCTGTTCACACTCACTAGGCTAGACCCTCTCGAATATTGTACAACAGTTTTGGCCCAGGAGTGGTAAAGGGCACGGGGCAAGCTATGTCGGGACCTGCTGTAAAGTCCGCCATACACGAGCTGTACGTCTTATCGGATGGGATATACCCCTGATATTGCTGATAATGAATGGCCCAGTTTCATTGTACTGCTGTCCGCGATATTATATCCTTAGTGGCATTGTTAACTTCTCATTGCTTGTGGGGACGCATGGATCATACGTCCATCCAACACCTGCCAATCGGAACCCACCGACAACGCTGTCGGTTGGGTTGGACCACAATCGGTTGGTTTTTGAGTCCAATATGCCGCCTAGGTAGCACACAGCATTGCTAATCTGATTTTAAATTAGCTGCGCAAATCCTGGCATACTGCCCGTAAATGCATCTAACTCCCAGGGTACTTATGAGTTTTTAGGTATGACTGCTACAAAGTAGTGCGGCCCAAATAGAACTCGGGTCAGGTGCCGAAGAACTGGGGGGGGGGGGGGGCATGTGTCAATGAATGGTAATAACTCCGGAAATCATGCTGATGTATCGAGGGCGTGGGCCAATGAAGTGCTGGATTGATGGTGGACGACTGTACTGCAATCTTGGCTGGTCCCACTATCGCAGAGACAGCACTTCCTGGTGCAACCACCCTATCCTGCAATCTATATAATAATTATTATAAGAGATTTGTGTGAACGATTTTAGCATGATGCAAGTCAGCTTATTGTGCTGGGGGCCTGGCTACATGTCACTATAGCTTTTTATAGACTCGATCACCGCATTACGCTGCCTTGCGTTGACTTGATTGAGCACTCTTTTTGGTTAGTGTCAAAGGTATATGTAATATGTATCTGCCTTCGTGCAAAGCTCTCTTTGTGCGTGTCTTGCAGATAGCTCGCTGACTTTGATGCTTTGAGCCATTTTCAAATTGCTTTTTTTGTTCATTTCATATAGACCGTATTGCCATTTGTTTAACCTCCCGCTCTGAGCTCCACTGATGGGACCTAAAAAGGCTGAAACAGCTGTCTGGAGATTGAGCGTCAGTATTATGGATTTAGAATACACGATCTGGGGACAGCACTAGTACTGTCTAGCTGTTTCGTCCTTTGTGGACTCATCAGCGAATCACGGAGAAATAACTCTTAACTAAGGATGAACCTAGCAGCCATGAAAATAGATAAATAATGCCTCCAAGCCAGAATTCAAGGCTACATGTGTAGGCCCGAATGTGCCTTGCCCGAGTGCTGAAACTGATAAGTCATTGAGATACGCATAGAACATCTGGCAAAGGAAGTACTAAAGCCCCCACAAGCACGGTATTCTACTTCAACAAGGAAGAATTTTGAAAGCATGCACAGCCCTACATGTATAATGTTGGTATAGGTAAGCCTTGTTTGATAAATTAACATAAGGCGGGGGACGCACTGTGTTAAAAAACAGTGCTCCTGATACACTAGTGTGTCCTCGGCTTTGTCACATGCTGTCAACCGATCAACACATACAACGTTGCATGCAAAACGGCTGCAGCCTCGCAGTACGGAGTGCTATTTTGGAAAATGCTAGATATACAGCCTGTACTTATACAGGTGTTCTATCAACTAGTGCCATTATGACAACGGTAGCTGAATGATACATGTACATAAACCCAGGGTCATCATTGCAAGAACCTCTGGGTCTAAGCCCGAAGTAACATTCAACTACATGACTGTATACACCATCATGTATACGCCATCTTCGTAGTAACTGAGTCTACCCCTCACCCACTACTGCCACTGTGACCACAATTGCGCACAAACAGAGGACCTTAGAGGACCTACTTCTAACTACAGTGCTGGCCAAAGAAATCCAACCTTATGAATAAAATTGCACCGGGCGCTACGCAGCCCTAGTAGTAAACATACTGGACCGGTCTGTGCTCTCGAACGCGGCGCTACTTTATTAACGAGGTTGGATTTCTCTGGCCAGCACTGTACAAAATACACACATGCACACACAACACTGCTAGGCTTTCCACCACCACACTAGGTTTTGAAACCGAAGAGTGGCAAAATTCAGGGCCAGACTAGAAAATCTGGGGAGACCTGATGGTTTTTTAAAGCAAAACACAGCCAACACTCTGCAGCCTCACAGCCTCAGGCAGGTTTTCCCGAGTGCACAAAATTAAAAGTTGTTGAGGCACCACGAATACAGTCGGGTGTCACAGAACGTGGGACCCAGGAATGTACGTGTATACCTCTAGGAACACCACAGCCAATAACGTTTTAAAAAGAAACGCAGTGTCAATAGACTCAAGTCTCTGCTTTTCTGGAATACAGATTCTGCTACACACGTATTGCTCACTATCCAGTGGGATGTGCATCTAAGAAAGTGGTACAAGAAGTCAAGGAACTAAGCCTAAGGCCAGATTGCTGAAAGGTTTTGTATAACTGACGAGCCTGACCCCTTGGAAACAACAGCCGTGGATGCGTGGCTCTACTGTAATAAATGTACAGGGGTACACAAACAATTTGAATGCAGAAATAACAACAACAAACAGGGAGAGGTGTAGGAAAATATACTCGGCCCTAGTGAATTTGCTTGTGTATTAGCTTGAAAACTTTGGGTACACTTGTTGAGAGACCTAACTGCATGCAGCTAAAATATGGAGTGCCGTTGTCACCGACGACTTTTCCAGTAAAGTTGCGGCTAACATCTTCTCAGGTATTCCCGGGTCTTCGCTAAGGCCGTAAGGGTGAATGATATCATGTGCGTCTTCTATTGCTGATGTCGCTACACTCGATGGTGGTGCTGATGTACTGATTGTGGTGGAAGATATTGAGATGCCGTATGTCTCGAACCTTTTCGCCAAGTCTCCGCGGCCATCGCGCAAGAGGGTCGGGAGCACCACAACTGCAACGCCACAGATCCAAGGATCGATTCTCGGACAAAACATTCTTCAGATTGCCAAAGGTCCCCAGTGCTTGGCAATACTGGCCTGTACAGCATGAACACACCACACATACGCCCACACACCACGTACCATGTAAACGCCCGTTGCAGGAGAAGCACGCAAATCTGCAAATGAATTGGATGTGCACCCAAAGATTTTCTCGTATAGGAACAATAGCTGATCTGAATCTGAATAAAACAGATCAAGACTATTGCCAGATAACAGTCTAATCCGCACAAGGCAACTGGCGCAGCCATGTGAATCTCGAGCAAAATGGACAAACATGTCCCCAATTATCAGCAAACGGGTGTGCGTTACAGGATTGGCCTGGCAACTTCAAACAGGCACAATCCACTAACGTGGTGCCCCGTCAACTTCAACGGGAACACACCGATACAAACACAGCCCCACAACAGCAAAACGGGAACGCCGTTACAAATATGGTGCCCTGGCAACTTAACGGGAACGCACCAACACAAGCTGGCCTGGCACCTTCAAACAGGCACAACTGACAAAACACGGCATCCGGCAACAGCAAATGGGTAGGTACAGTCAGACCTCGCATAACCGCACACATCTGTTTTCCACAAAAATATCCGGATAGGCGAGGGAACCGGATAACTGAACACACATACTGGATATGCATGTGGCATGTCAAAAGCAGTGGCATCATACATACAGTCATGTAGACGGGTCCTATGCAGTACAACTAGCGTGCACAGTATGTAAAACAAGCGAGAAAAATGACAAGTGCATGCAGCAGAGTGCTGTCTGCATGTACCCAGCAGGTCAAGGACCTCGTTTGCTTGTACAACTCCCTGATTCTAGCTTCTGCAAGCCACATGCAACCGGATACGACGAAGCTTTTTGTACACATTTTACCCAGTTTGTACGCAAAATCTTGCACCGGTATGCGGATCGCGAGGTCCGGTTATGTTGTATGCATAACATATGCTGTACATCGGTAACCAGTGATTTTCTTCCGGATGGCGAGGGATCCGGATAAACGAGGACCGGATAAGCGAGGTCTGACTGTACACCGTTACAAGAACAGTCCATCGCACCAAAATGCTGCTGCCACAACATTATAGCAGCAGCACGCCAGACATGCATACATGGCATTCCCAAAAGCAGATACTTGGAGTCAAATTCATCCATCACACTGTTTGTTAGGGCTGAATTTTCCAGTGACAATAGCAAATCCCACCTAAGGCACATGTGATGAGATCTGTACACCAACTATCGTCACAGAATCAATGCACATTAGTAGAGCATATGAACTCACTTGCGCTCATACCCTGTCACGTAGAGATGCTACTCTACGTGTACTGTTCCGATGTCCATTGGGGTGGTATGCCGGCCACTTGCCAGATGTAGAGCTTTTAAGCCGTACTTTGCCACCGTCTGCTTGCCGTATCATATTTAAATAAGGCCGAGTAAGGTGGATCACTTTGGCAAAAGTGAACACAGGCTTGGTGCTACAGGCATGGGCTGTCATGTACCGGAATAGCCAATACCGGGCATGTTTCGTCGACAGTAGATGGAACTGCGACGGCTCCACCGTATATGGCCGCGTCTTAGTGACCTTCAGGCGCAACGTGACTAAGTCAGGTGCGAGACTCCCAGCCTCCCACACAAATACTCTTTGGCTGTCAAACGAGTGAATACTAGTAGATGATGCTAAATACTCGCTGGCAAACAATAAGCCATACAAGGCCAGTAGTATACTTACCCACAGCATAGCCTGATCTACAATATGACTGATTGGATCGTTGTAAGTATTGCCGAAAATGGATTAAGTCGTCCACTAAAAGCTCTTTGAAACTCGGATGTTGAGCCAATATGGCAATAATAAAATTAATGTAGAAAGGAAAAGGACGTATGGATATGAGTGTAGAGTAACTGTCACTATATACTAAATACAGTCAGAAAGTGCAACAACCAGGCACTAAAACATTTGACGACCCGACTCCTGGCTTCAACACATCTCCGTGGTGTTAAGGAGAGACCAAAGAGGGAAAGGTAATACTGCTTTCGTCATCGTCCAGTAACAAGTAACAATCAACATTTCTTGTTCTTGTGGGACTGTAGCTTCAACTACTAGCTTGTGCTCATTTTCGTTGCGCTTACCTTCCCCTCTTTGGTCTCTCCTTTTAACCTTGAACCTTCCAAGTTGGAAGGCTGTTGGTTAGCGCTACGGAGATGTGTTGAAGCTAGGAGTCAGGTCGTCGAATGTCTCAGCACTCTGTCAGTTTTGTGCCTAGTTGTTGCATTTTTTTTTTACTGTAGTAGCTAGTTACAGTGGTGGACAGTTACTCTTAACTCGTATCCATATGTCCTTTTCCTTTCTAATAAAAGCTCTATCCGCAAATACGCCGAGGCGGCTTGCCGTCTCTCGCTCTATGCCATGCAACACAACTGTTGAGCGAGCAGCTTTTACGCCAGCCCCATTGCACAACAGGTAATAGGCTACTAATAGCGTAACGCAGCTAGGTAAACACGAATCGATGAAAGAGGCAGACTTCTTAGAACAAAGAGACTAGTTGTGAAGGACACAACATTTTCAGCAGTCAGCAGTAGGAGAAATTGCTCTTAATTATGCAGCAATACTAGGCTTACACGTTTGTGTCATGCGTTCTGAGACGGAGTCCTTGACTAGCTCGTCACTGGCCGCACTCAGAGCAGCAGTCGTCACTGGCCGCACTCAGAGCAGCAGTCGTCACTACACATGGGTTGGGAAGCAATGGACAAAAATAACACTTGCCACGCACACATGCACTGCTTACCAGCTAAGTTAATATGTCATACTGTACTGCAGCAAGCAAGGAACTGGCAATACCTGCACCAGGCCTATCTACTGTGACCCATGCCATTGGGAATGAGAAGAGGCAGCATTTGACAGTATGAGCGGTGTGATGAACGGGAATGCATAATACAAGCCAGTCGAGCATTGGTACATGTACTTACGGACGCAAGTTGGCTGCACACCGCTCCACTGGCCGTTGATTTCACAAGTACGCACGGCCGAGCCCATAAGGACATAGGGAGATGTGCACACAAACGTGGTCGTGTTGCTGAACATCAAGCCGTTCACGGTCATTGAGCCCAGTGCCGGTGGTGACAGGACCTGGCAGTCGGTTTGACCTGCACAAGCACAGAGCACAGAGCACAGGCATTCAGTGCATGCATGTTTGGCCTAGGGGTGAAACGAGTGCCAAAATTGAGGACTCGAGTACTCTTTGAAAAAACGAGCGAGTATTCAAGCGAGTACGAGTATTTTACTGACAACATAAAACAATGTACTGCACACACTCTCGTAACACTGAACGTATTACACCTGATACACATGTAGTCTTGCATGCAGCCTAGTGCAGGAAATAGTCTGAACTACGTCTTTTGTTGGTAAGTAGGGACAAGTAATAATTTCACACTTGCATGGGTTATCAGTACTGGTCAGAGTAACAGACGTGCTTGATGTACAAGCAAACAGTACACTGTGCACAAGATACTTTGAGTGTTTTGCGACACGAGTCCTCACTCCTTTCGAATTTTCGAGCAAGCGCTCGAGTATTCGATATACTCGTTTCATCCCTAAAACGTTTGCGTATGTGTGCGTGGCACAGACGTTGGTTTTGAATACATTGTAGTACACGCATTGTGTAAAGGAAATTGATGCGAAGACTGCCTCAACATGGCCATGCAAAGTAATAAAATAAATACAGCAGTGAATAGCGGTCAACAGTAGCTCTCAGGGGCGTACATAGGGCGGTTCCCGGGATGCCCGGGAACCAGTAAAATAATTTCGATGTGGGTAGATCTACGGAGAATGTTTTGATCAAGGCCCAGCGTGCATGCAGTGCATGCATGCCTAGGCGGCGTAGTCGCCTGCAGTCCGCCTGACCGTCCGAGGACGGTGACAAGGCAAGGTGTAAAAGTGCTGCTGAGGCATTTTTGTGACACAGCGTAGATCTACTGAACTTACTGGGTGCAACGAAGTCTCTACATACGAGTTACAGCGATTCCTCGATCTCAGAGTCATTTCCTTTGCAGTTTGTTTCGACAAAGTTGATTACATTTTTGACGACGCTTTCGCTTTGTGGAAAAGAAAAATGAAGAGTCGACATCCAGAGGGCCAGCGCTCTATTCAGAGCTATTTTGAGCAGGAGGCAAAGCGTGTAGCCAGTGACGAAGGTCAAGCGATAGATGAGATTGCGGACGCACCTGACTTCCAAGTGGAGTCTGCAACGAGCAGCACAGAGGACGGAATCGTCGGCGAAGCTGTAGAGCGACCGTTGTTGGAAGCTGCTGGATCATCCAAGACTTAGTTCAGTGACATTGGAGTGTGTTGGAAAGGATATTCTGAAAGTGTACCTCCACGGTGGAATCCCTGATTCCTCCGAAATTTGCCATACATGGAAAAGATTTCCGTCATTGACAATCATTGTGCGCCACTAGCTGCACTGAAGGCGAAGGATTTCGTTTCCTGTGCGTGTCCAGACGGGTGGCAAACAGCGCCGCTTTCAACTATCCTGGTTGGAGGAGTTTCCCTGGGTAGTTTTTTGACCGGCGTTCCATGGTGGCTTCTGCTTGCCCTGTGTAATGTTTGCTCCAGGTGATTCGAAGTTTGGGCAGCTTTACCGCAGTCCTCCCGAGAATATAACCCGACTCAAGACTGAGCGTGTGGATGTGCTTCAGCGACTCGTTTCACGGCATAACATGAAATCGTCCCGCTGAACAAAACATCCATAAAAAATGCCTTGGCAAAGTTCAGTCTTTTTGAATCAAATATGCGTAGCAGTGACATTATCCAGCAGTTTATGCAGAAACTCCATCGGATACCTATAAGAGCACTAGCCGTGTGGAATTATGTTGGTTGATCAGTTTGCATGGGAACCACTCCTAGAGGCGAGCGGTGTACGCCCCTGGCTCTACATTTTGCTTGTAATAGAAGTCATTAGCGTCAGAGCAAGAAGAGGGACAAGACGAGTCAAGGGACAATCCGGAGGACGCAATACCATACGACCAACTGTTTGTTTCTACCAGCGTTATTGTACCGTCGACACAGCTCTGACGACGATATACTGGGCGAATGCCGCGGGGCCTCCCAGCGTGTCAGCGGCAGTGGGTGATGGGCAGATAACAAGGTAGCTTGCGGACAACATCGGTGGCATGAAGCCTAGTGACTGCCAAGCGTCTTGGCGCGACGGGCGAGCAGTACAGTGTCATGCCCCAGGGGCTGCTGTGGCTGTCAACGTCGGCGGGTCGTGAGGTGCGTTCGCAGGCCTTCATGGCGCTCGGACAACTGCAATACTAGTACACAGACTCTCACTACTAGCTACATAGTACTCTGATTCTGGCACGTTATTTCTGCATTGAATAGTGATCGATTTTCCGCGCCGAATATCCGACGCTGCATGCATGTCCAATGCGCGTCAACAGTACTTCACACTTTCCTTTTCCCGCGTTATCACCCACAGCTGTCTAAAGGAGTTAATCAATATCGTCTACGGAAGTGTCCTCGCAATGGTGATGGTGGTGTGCAGGAGGGTCTAGTCGGCTAAAGAGCGCAGTGTGGTGGTGGAGGTGACTCAACATTTTCTTCAATGGCCGAGAGCTCTGTCGCACCCTGTAATAATAATAGAAGTCATGGCACTACTATGAGTGCTGCTGCTGCTGGTGCTTACCTGGAGCTGGTGTGACCTTGCCTGGCTGGCAGTACTGTGCATCACAGCCATCAGCACACTGCTGCTGGTGCTTACCTGGAGCTGGTGTGACCTTGCCTGGCTGGCAGTACTGTGCATCAGAGCCATCAGCACACTGCTGCTGGTGCTTACCTGGAGCTGGTGTGACCTTGCCTGGCTGGCAGTACTGTGCATCAGAGCCATCAGCACACTGCTGCTGGTGCTTACCTGGAGCTGGTGTGACCTTGCCTGGCTGGCAGTACTGTGCATCAGAGCCATCAGCACACTGCTGCTGGTGCTTACCTGGAGCTGGTGTGACCTTGCCTGGCTGGCAGTACTGTGCATCAGAGCCATCAGCACACTGCTGCTGGTGCTTACCTGGAGCTGGTGTGACCTTGCCTGGCTGGCAGTACTGTGCATCAGAGCCATCAGCACACTGCTGCTGGTGCTTACCTGGAGCTGGTGTGACCTTGCCTGGCTGGCAGTACTGTGCATCAGAGCCATCAGCACACTGCTGCTGGTGCTTACCTGGAGCTGGTGTGACCTTGCCTGGGCAGTACTGTGCATCAGAGCCATCAGCACACTGCTGCTGGTGCTTACCTGGAGCTGGTGTGACCTTGCCTGGCTGGCAGTACTGTGCATCAGAGCCATCAGCACAGTCGTACCAAACACCGTCGCAGTGCTGTGATGGCAGGATACAGCCACTGGAACGCAGGCAGGGCAGGTAGCCAGACTGGCACTGCAGTTGAATGGCTGGATACACGTACCCATACACACAACACACAAAGCAGTCAAGAGATGAAGAAAGTGTCTGCTCGGCACATCTTTTGTACAGTCAAGAGATATTAGCATATTTGGAGGAGGTGGTAGCCTAAAACAGGCTCGACAAAAGTTACCGGCTTATGCCAACAACTCAGCGTTCTGGTAGAGTAGACGGTTCGATACCGGAACGCCTTGACAGCCAAATTTGTATAGACCCAAACCGATCATCAGCGTTGATTTTTCACTCGAAATATGTTTGTGGAAGGAAACTGGCATGTTGAAGTTTGCTCTGGGGCCAGAGTCAATCGAACTGAGCCACTCCTTTGTGTTGACCCATTGCCTCCAAGTTGCCCAATTTTTCGCTTCAAAAAAGTTCAAATCAGAGGTGGCTCCAAACCGGACACGTTTTAGAGTGCACGTCAAATTCACTCTGGGTCTGAAATTAGGTAATTGCTATCGCTCCACGACGGCCAGTACAGAGTAACAATAAGCCTTGTGTGTGCTTCCATTAGTTTTGATTGGTATGCGGTGCTTTATTGGCAAGAGGCGAGCCGCTGTTTACCTGCGACAAGAAGTTGATTTTTTGAAAGTCGTAAAACTCAAGTCGCAGTGCGAAGCAACACGTCAAAAACTCACCTGCTTGGTATGGCGCGTCTGGTCATCGCAGAGCCATGAAATATTGGCTCGGAGTATAACACATCGTAGTCTCACTGTGACATATGTTTTCTAATCAAAATACCAAGAGAGAAAGTGAATATTGAGTCCGTTCCGGTTTGCAACCTGTGTCCTATTTGAAACCGTCGACTCTACCCGGTGAAACACCCTAACCATACACCTACAAGTATAACATACTTGGTCCGTTTCATCGCAATTGTCGCTTATCTCCCACGCACCTTTTGACAGGTAAAATCCAGTCCGATCTCAATATCTAACTCATATTCGTTTGGGAGGTTGTGATGGCAAGATCAAAGGAGACCAGAAAGAAAAAAACCATCGCGACTAGCGCCAGTGGCATCGCGATTCATACAATTTTGATGGGAAAGTGGGAAACTTTTCGCTGCAGTGAATGCACACATTCACTGCAGCGAAAAGCCAAGCGCAGCTCAAAGACCGGAACTGTAGCAGGGGAAATCGACATCCTGACCTGGAGAGCGTGACAGTCACGGCCAGGCCAGCCAGCTGAGTTGTTTGAACTGCAATGTTTGAACAGCAATGACCTGGTATTCTTTGCAAGCCTGCAAACTGATGGCGAGATGGTGGCAAAGAAGACATTGTCCGACCTGGCTCCTGCAGTACAAGAGTCGTGGTCAGCGTATCCAGCAGAGCGTATGACAGCTGTCTGGTGAGGGATGTGTGCCTGATTCAAAAACATTGTTGAACACACAATACTGTAGTGACAGACGGGTCACGCTGCCCACGTTCCTCCAAGTGCCAAAGTGACAGCCGCGACTGTTCCTTTCCCATCGCTGCTATACGCCAAGCGGAGAAAGAAAGAGATACGGTGCTCTACGCCAGCAGCTATACACACCAGTGAATACGGTACTCTACGCCAGCAGCTATACACACCAGTGAATGTCAGCTCAAGTGGCATCAGCTCGAGTGATACAGAGCCAGAGTCGGATAAACTAAAGCGTGAGTGCAAGAAGGCGCTCCGTCGCTGTTTTCTTTTGTACATTTTTTTTAACCTTGCTTCCTTTCTTCGACTTGCTTCATCAGATTCCATCGCTGAATTTATTTCTTGTGGCGGACAGAAATCCTGTATCATGCTTCTTCACTATGCGTATTGGAAATTTTACAGAGCGGTAAAAAAACTCCTGTTTTTAGTTGCGATAGATAAGCGACAATTGCGATGAAACGGACCAAGTATTTCCTAAGGACTCAGGCTGAGATGCCCGACTGGTCCTGGGTCCTGTGATTAGCACGATCATCATTTGTGATGATGAAAAGTGGCAGGTAACACCCAGACTATTACATGCTCTGTAAATAGGAAAGATGAACGCCACCAGAATCTGCCTTCCTACAAGCCTGAAGCTTCTCTACACAAGAGGGATATATTGGCTCTCTTGAAATTCAACTTACGATTACATGAGGCAGCTGCCCCACTCCAGGAACCGTCAATCTGGCAGATGCGCACAATGCTTCCCTGCAGGTTGTATCCGGAATTTCAGCCGAAGACGACGCTGCCTCCAGCAGAATAGTTTGTGCCCTGGGAGTAGCCGTTGGTCGGTTTAGCTAGCGGTGTGCACACACCGGCTGTACACGTCACAGGCACGTACACACACAGGCACGTACACACACAGGCACACACACACACACACACACACACACACACAGGCACACACACACACACACACACACCTTGACCTTGATACACAAGGATTCTTCATTATTTGCCACGTTTGAGCTGAGCTGCGATCATCGCGCTTTGTTGCAGTGTGCTAAAAAAACAAGAACAAAAAAACGGCCAAAAATGTGGGGCGGCTAAGGCCGCCCCAGCCACCCCAGCTGTGCCGGCCTTGCATGCCTGGTGTACGGTTTGAAAGATGAAAGATGGAGCTCTTGTATACACGGGCCTGGAAAGTCTGCTTCGCCTGCTCGGCAGCAGCTTCGTAGTGGTGGTCAAGGGTCGAAGACCGACGGATACGGATCAACTCCCCAGTGATCACACCTTTACCCATACTACGGGGGTGGTTACTACCGGCAAGCAGATACAGGAAACGATTGGTGACCTTGAAATGAGGCTTCACCGCCATGTAGCCCTTACTACGGAAAACTGTGGTGTCCAGGAAATCAATGCCATCATGTGCCAGTTCATGCGCAAACTCGAGGGCCGAACACTTATTAATCCTGTCTAAAGCGCGCTGAACTTGACCTTCGCAACCATGCAATGAAACAAAAATGTCACTGATAAAGCGTCTATAAACCTGAACCTCTAAACCCTCCCCCTCTAAGATCGGCAAAATGTACCGATTCTCCAAATACAGCATAACAATGTCGGCATAGACCACTGCTGCAGGCGAACCCATGGCAGTCCCTTGGATCTGCGGAAACAAATCGTTATCGTACACGAACCCGTTAGTCTTCCGAATGACTGACATCAAGGAAGTCACTGCTGTTGTTAACCGTGTACGAAGGGCCGGGGGCATCCACCTTGTATACCTGTGTGTGATATACCACGACAATGCCACGTGACCGAGCTCGTTGGGGATGTTGGTGTAAAGGCTGGTCACATCTGTACTCAAAAATAAATGATCGTCCCGCACAGGCAAACCTCCTACCAAGTTGATGAAATCCGTAGTTCAGGCCAGAACAGTACTTTCCTCACGTACATACAGGTTCAGTAGAAAGTCAATGAACTTAGCGGGATAGTAGCCAGGACTATTCAGACTAACAATAGGCCTAACCTTCAGGGCACAGGGCTAATGTGTTTTGATAAGTCTCCTGAAAACGGGCATGCGCCCCCGGTGCGACTAAGAACAGTGACATATAAAAATGGTCATACGATGCCCAATGCGATGCCTAGTCATGGTGAGTAAACAATTGACTCGGGTCGCAAACACGAAGTCTCAACACAGCCTTGAGCCTGTTGGTTGCCATCGGCAGTCTAGCCACATTTTCATCTAGCCCCTCAGGAAGAAAAAAACAGTCATTTATAATGTTGGGCATTGTGATGCTGGGCACGACCTATATCATCATTGTGAGATCCATCCAGGACTACTATCACAATAGACTGCCTTTGAATATGCCCGAGTCTGATCGCGTTCTAATTCCCAAACTATGTGCTGCATGTGTACACTCCGCCTATGGTTAGTCTACTCCAGAACAACGCCTGGAGAGGTTCATTGGGGGCATGATGTCCCCCACCCCATCCCCCTTGCCCCCTGCACCTGAAGTACCGGTATTGCCCCTCCCCCCCCCCAAATAAAGTACAGGACACAGATGGAGCACTGGGGAGCACGTAGCA